TTTATTTGTCTATCTATGTATCTGGTGTTTTGTTTTGTTTTGTTTTGTTTTTTTGTTTTTTGTTTTTTGAGACAGGGTTTCTCTGTGTAGACCTGGTTGTCCTGGAACTTGCTCTGTAGACCAGGCTGACGTCGAACTCAGAGATCCACCTGCCTCCTAAGTACTAGGATTAAAAGTGTGCACTATCACTTCCCAACAAGATTTTTTAAATTTAAGAAATAAATAAACCTGAAAATACAGATAACAATTCTGTCTCTCTCCTGACAGATTTTCTCTTCTACTTCTTTTCATAGACATTTTAGCTTCTGAGAACATGTGGTCCTATCTCTGCCCACATTCCTAAGTGCATCAACCAGGTCCTGGCAGGCCACAGACAATAGGAAGAGATGCCAGTTCAATGAAGGCTTCCTGCAAACATGAAGGTTCAAGAAGGGGACACAGTGAGAGGTGTAATGTCTTTGGGGTGGCAACAAGCAGCAATACAGAACACAGTAAGGTCTGCCTACCACTCTACAGAGTCCCCTGACAGTAGCTGTGGTCCACAGCTTCTGCCCACAAAGCCAGACACAGTGACAGAAGAAAGAGACCAGAGCCCACCAGACTCCCTCTTCTCGACCCTGTAGACTCCTCCCTATGTGTGTTCCATTGCATAAAACAAACAAAAGGCAGAGGAAGAAGTCAGGCATGGTGACACACACCTGCAATTCCAGCTACCCAGGAAACAGGCAGGGGGATTGAAAGAAACCAGGAGCACGTGGCCATCCTGAACAATGTGGTATGATCTCTTTTCAAAAATCAAATAAAAAATAAGTAGGAGAGCCCATAATCCTAGCACTTGAGAGGTGGAGGCAGGAAAATGACAAGTTTGAGGTCAGCTTGGGCTACAAATCTCTCAAAAATCAAAATCAAAAGAATTTAAATAAATAAAAATAAAGGTGGAAGGAAGGGAGGTGTCATGACTTCTATAGAGCTTCCAGGGCCAGAGATGGGTAGAGATAATGGGGAAATTTGTGTTCACAACACAAGGCATTGCTTTTGTGTTTTACAAATTGGTATGTATCACCTTTACTCTTGGTTTTTCGGATTGATTTCTTCATGCACTGGTGTTACTGTTTGTTTGTAGTACTGAGGGATTGAACTTAGGACCTCATGTAGTGGTAGAAGCAAGTGTTCCACCACCAAACTATTTCTCCAGGCTCCTTTCTATTCTCTATTTTGAGACCATGTCTCACTAGATTGCCCAGGATAGCTTTGAACTCTGTGGCCAAGCTGGCTTTCATCTTATAAATCTTGTGTGTATGCCTGCCAAGTATCTGGGATTACAGCCTGTGCCACCACACCCAGCACCATTTATTTTGGTATTTATCAATACTGAAAACTGAAGCACTAGCCGGGTGTTGGTGGCACACGCCTTTAATTCCAGCACTCGGGAGGCAGAGGCAGAGGCAGGAGGATCTCTGTGAGTTCGAGCACAGCCTGGTCTACACAGTGAGTTCCAGGACAGCCTCCAAAACAATACAGAGAAACCCTGTCTCAAAAAACAAACAAACAAATAAACAACAAAAAAAGAAAACTGAAGCACTAATTCACGGGGCCATTTTACCTCCCCCCTAGTGTGCCCTCATTTCTAAACTGAGCAGGTTTATGTGCACGGGGCCCAATTCATATGTGCAAGAATCTTATTTGAGTGTGCATGTGCGTACATGCATTGATGAACAAACATACCTACATACCCAAGTCTGCATATTTATACTTACATATATCCATTTAACTTTCCTTTCTGTAGAATTGCTCCCTATTGTAAGAATTCCAACCTTCACTTCCAGGGTTGGGTCTGAAAGTCATTTCTGATCCTCCACTTACACCGGTTATTATCTGACTTGTTAACCTTGCCCGTCCAATGGTTCTGAAACTGTGTATCTTTCTTATTTTAATTTGTGTCTCTGCTTACATTACTCTACTTCCATGTGTGCTCATTACATCCCTCTGCCTCACAAGCTCCAACAACAGCTGTAAAATCCTGGCAAAGCTGACCAGGAAACGCTTGGAGAAAGCTGTTGACACACCATGCACCACTGGTTGGCTCCTCTGCCCTCTGACTCATATCCCCTGAATGCCAGACCACACAGTGGGTGCTTCATGCCAACCCATTTCACAAGAAGAAACTCAAAACAGTGTTAGCCTCTCATGCTTTGTCACATTTGAGGAATCCTGGTGAAACACAGGCACTTTTGGAATGAGCTCTATATTTTTTTTCCATGTGAGAAAAGGAAGGGTTGGAACACTGAGTGCTAGAAAATTTGTGTTTAGAGCATTAAACGCTGTAAAATGCCTCTCTGTGCATGGGACAATTAGGGAAATGATGGTGATAATAAAAAGTGGTCGCCTCTAGGGAGGAGAATGAGACTTCAAGGCCCGAAGTATCACAGGTAAGAAACAGACTTATCGTCCTTTATAGACATGCTGTTCTTCATTTTGCCATAACCAAAGGGACGACATGATCTGATCAAAATGCAATTTATGAGCTTTTGTCATCCTACAACATTCTGTTTTATATTTGCCAGGTATAGGGAGACACCGTAACCACGCCTCCTAAGGACTGGCTATAGGTGTGCCCGACCACGCCCATCAAGGTGATGTAAGGGAGACGTGGGAGAGGTTTTTAAGTGACAGACAAGGCACATGGAAACTCTCTTGCCTTGCTGCTTTGGCACGCTCTGGCTTGCTGTTGGTTGGCATTTATCTATTAAAAGTTATCCTAACCTTACAGATTTCGTATCAGTTACTCAACGCTTTAGCCAGGTGAGGATTATCGAATATTCTCTTAGCGAGTTTAGGCTGCTGTAACAGAATACCATAAACAGGATAGCTTGTAGACAACAGAAATGCACTTTTCACAGTTATTGGGGCTCAGAGGTACAAGTTCAAAGTACTGGAAGATTTGGTGTCTCATGAAGAACAGTTTCTTTTCTCTCTCCCTCTCTCTCTCTCTCTCTCTCTCTCTCTCTCTCTCTCTCTCTCTCTCTCTCTCTGTCTCGACAAGGTTTTTCTGTGTAATCTTGGTTGCTGTCCTGAAACTTGCTCTATAGACAAGGCTGGTCTTGAACTCAGAGATCAGCCTGCCTCTGCTTCCCAAATTCTGTGATTGAAGGGGTGTGCCAGTCCATCCCCCCACCCCAGTTGAAATGTTTAATTTTTACCAAATATAGAACTGTACAAAAAAATATCACCTCCCTAAAATTACAAAACAAAACAAACAAACAAAAAATGCCAGCACAATGGGGTTGGAGAGATGGCTCAGCAGTCAACACTGGTTGCTCTCCTAGAGGACCCAGGTTCCATTCCTAGCACCCACATGGCAGCTCAGAACCATCTGTAACTTCAGTCCTAGGGTCTGTGTGGGCACCAGGCACACAAGTTGGCACACAAACATATATGCAGACAAAACACCCATGTACATAGGTTGAAAGACCCCGCCCCTTGGCTCGTTCTCTCTCTCGGTGACACTCCCGTATGCGCGCGCACCCACAGCGGCTGGGTCCCTCCCC